ACCCTCCTGCCTCCCCCTCCTGAGTGTTAAGATTTCAGACTTGTGTTACCGAACCCAAGGCTTTGTGCCTGTGCTTAGCAAGGGTCTGACACGTGAGCCACATCCTCAGCCAAAAAGTTTCTTCTATTTATTGTATCTGTTTGTTTGTTTGAATGAGGGCCTTACAGTGTATCTAAGGCCAACCTGGAAATCATGAACCTTCTTCTCCAGTCTCCTGAGTGTGGGGATTACAGCTGTGTGCCTATTCCTGGTTCATATGATTTTTTATATTTTTTCCCCCCTGTATATAGGGTTTCTCTGTGTAGCCCTGCTGTCCTGGAACTCCCTCTTTAGACAAGGTTGGCCTTGAACTCAGAGATTCATCCCCCTGCCGCTGCCTTCCAAGTGCTGAGATTAAAGAAGTGTGGTACCACTGCTGCACCTTGTCATTATGGTTTTGTGTGTGTGTGTGTTTTCAAGCTATGGTTTCTCTGTGTAACAGTCCTGCCGGTCCTGGCATCTGCTTTGTAGACCAGGTTGGCCTCGAACTCACAGAGATCCGCCTGCCTCTGCCTCCTGAGTGCTGGGATTCAAGGTGTACACCATCACTTCCTGGCCCCCACTATGTTTTTTATTGGACAGAAATGACTAGATTAGAGAAATGCTTTCAGAGTGAATGTATACTGAGCATTTTAGAATTTTCTAACTAGGTATAGTTTATTTTTCTAATTGATGGAAGAAGTTTACTTGATATAACAAAACAACAGAGTTCTACCCAAGCCCCAAGAGCAGAAGAAATGGAAAAAAAAATGAGTATGGGGGAAAAAACCAAAAACAGGATGACTAAATATTTTATTACCTTTATTTATTTCCTTATGTGTTTCTGTAGAGACATATGCACTGGGCCCAAGGATGCCCTGGCACTCATGTGAAGGTCAGAACTTCAGGTTTTTTTTCACCCTGTACGTTCTGGGGATTGAATTTAGGTTGTTAGGCTTAGTATCTGTTTTACTAGCCTAATCCTTCCACCTCTTATCCCCTCCCCCAAAGAAAAACAAAAAACAACCTCAAAATACTTAATGTGACAATATGCATATTCCTAAAATAATACTTTAAAATTCCTTAGTTCTTTTTTTGAAATTTGTTTTGAAGTATTTATTTCTATTTTATGAGTATGGGTGGTTTGCTTGAGTGGACCATGTCCATGCAGTGCCCATAAAGACTATCATCTCCTCTGAAACTGGAGTTACAGGGACAGTTGTGAGACACCATGTGGGTGCAGGGTGTCAAACCGGGGTTCTCTGGAAGAGGAGTCAGGGCTTGCTTTGCAATATTATTTTAACTGGAGAAAGAGGTGTTACATTAGTTTCTTCTGCCTTTGTTAATGATGTAAAGATGTGTTACTTTTATTTATGTTGTATCTGTTTAAGGATGTAAGAATGCTTTTGATTATTTAAACATGTCTTGTATTTGTTTCACCTTGCCTGCCTAAGGCATCTGATTGGTCTGATAAAAAGCTGAATGGCCAATAGCTAGGCAGGAGAGGGATAGGCAGGGCTGACGGGCAGAAGAGAAGAGAAGGAGAGAGAAGAGAATGAGGGAGAAAGAGAGGGACAGGCCTGGGGCCAGAAGTCAGACAGCAGCCAGCCTGACAAACACTGGAGGAAGCAGGAAAGCAGAGCGTACAGAAAGAAGCTTAAAAGCCCCAAGGCAAAATATAGATGAAGAGAAACAGATTAATTTCAATTAAAGGAAAAAAAACCTAACTAGAAACGAGCATAAGCTAAGGCTGAAGCGTTCATAACTAAAGTCTCTGTATCCTGATTTGGGAGCAGGTTGGTGACAACAGAAAAAGCCTGGTACAAGGGCTCTTAACCCCTGAGCCATCTCCCAGGGAAACAGTATAAAACAGGTTACTAGCAACAGCAGAACTCCTTAAACCAAGCCCCATGTTTTGAGAAACAAACGAGCAACTGGATGTGGTGTCGCATGCCTTTTATCCCCGCATGCAGGGAGCAGAGATAGACAGATTTCTGTGAGTTCAGGTCCAGCCTGGTCTATGGAGTGAGTTTCAGGACAGCCGGGGCTAGACAGAGAGACCCTTTTTCAAAGAGGGGGAAGGGGAGAGAAGAGCGCATGAGGCATCTTTTACTGACAGTGCATGATTTATTTTCCTGTTTGCAGACTGCTCAAAATACCAACCCAGTGGCAGGATATTTCAGTTTAGAAAGCTTGTTTATTTTTCATTTCCTTTTGAGGGCATTTTGGTTTAATATCAGTTACTCGGCATTAGCATAACCTCCCACAACTGCGGGTCAAGTTCTGTTTTCTTTGGAGCTGGCAGGCAAAATGACAACAGGACAGCAGGTCATTATTCTGGATGGAGAGCTTTTTATGAAGAAAGGCCACGTCCCTTCTAGCTCAAATTTATTATGCATCTAACGATTTCTTCACGTGATATTTATTGACGAATTTCAGAGAACTTCAACAGTGTGTTGGAGTCTCCCCCTCTTCTGTTGAGACAGGGTCGCTGAGATTTAGGCTCGCACTGAACTTCCTATGTGGTGGAGAGGACCTCGAACTCTTCCCCTGTCCTCCTACTGCTACCCAGGAGGAGCCAGGATTCCTACAGTGTGCCGCCACACCCAGCAGGTTTACTGTCTTTAGGAAAATAACCGAAAGAAAGTCTGGCCTTCCTGGCGTTTCCCCCTGCCCTGTGCGGAAAGAAGTGGGCTATGGGTGTGTTAGTCAGGTTTTTATCCCTGTGATAGGCTATCTGCGGGGATCAAATTCTTAAAGACAAGTTTTTTCAAAGAAAATTAATTTTTTTTGAGATTATAATGTCATTATATTTCCCTTTTCTCTTTTTCCCCCCAAACCCTCCTGTGTACCCTCTCGCCTTGCTCTCTTTCCAGTTCATGGCTTCTTTCCCTTAAACTTTTTTAGGTTTATTTTATTATATTATGAATGTTTTGCCTGAATGCAGGCTTGTGTACCATGTGTGCGCTTGACTGGAGTTATGAATGTAGGTTCCGGGAACTGAATCTGGGTCCTTGCCAAGAACAGCAGGTGCTCTTCATTACCGATGTTGCCCCAGCCCTGAGGAAAGGTTTCTTTTGTTTCACTGTTTAGGGCAGTTATCCTCAACCTGTGAGCGGTGGCCTCTTTGAGGGTCGAACGACTGCTTCACAGGGGTCGCATATCAGCTATCCTGTATATCAGATATTTACATTATGATTCATAACAGTAGCAAAGTTACAGTTAGGAAGTAGCAACGAAATAATTTTATGGTTGGGGGTCCCCACAACATGAGGAACTGTATTAAAGCGTCTCAGCAGTAGGAAGGCTGAGAACATTAGAAAGATTTAGGCCTGTGGAGAGACAACATATTGTGGCAAGAGCACAGAGTGGAACAAAATAGGTCATGTGATCCAGGAGCAAATGAGAAAGAGGAATGGAGTCAGGTCCCACAGCCCCCATCAGGACAGGTTCTCAGTGCCCTTGGAACTTCCTATGTAGATTCCACGTTCTCCTTTGTTGTTGTTGAGACAGGGTTTCTCTGTGTAGCCCTGGTTGTCCTGGAACTCACTCTGTACACCAGGTTGGCCTTGAACTCACAGAGATCCAAATTCAAAGAGATCCACCTGTCTCTGTTTCCGGAGTGCTGGGATTAAAGGTGTGTGCCACCATTGCCCAGCTTTTTTAGTTTTCTTTTTTTTTGAGACTGAGTTTCTCTACACAGGCCTGGCTGTCCTAAAATTCCCTGGCTTTGAACTCACAGAGCTCTGCTTGCCTCTACTTCCAGAGTGCTGGGATTGAAGTCATGCACCTCTGTATCTGGGCAAGGTTCCACATCTTAAAGGCTGTTCCTCTCAGTACTGGCATTTTGGGGGCCAAGTCTTTAACACAGGGACCTTTTTGGGTAGTAGTATCTAAGCTATGGCATGGAGCATAAGGAGAACACACAACGTAAGTGTGGAGACAGACTTAAATTCTCCCCAGTATGTATGTGTGAACTTGGACTCGGTTTCCCTTCTTTGGATCCTAATTTCCTCAATTTTAAGAAAGAGATGGCTGAGTGTGAGGGGTCACAGCTACTGCAAGCTCGTACTTCTCTCCAGTGCTTCACCACACCCACATGGTGGGTTTGTTGCTTCCTTCTCCAAGAAGAGAAGAAAGAAGTTACATGACTTACCAACTTACCTGAAGGAGCAGTGTGTGTGTGTGTGTGTGGGTGGGGGGTGGGGGTGGGGAGGTGAGGTCAAGATTCAAAGGGTGGTCTTTTCTGGCTCCAAAGCCTGAGAGAAAATCTTTATTCCCTTTATTATGTTCCTTGCTTCTTACCCACCTCTGAAATTGTCAGTGTGTGTGTGAGATGAACTTAGATATATGACATTTTCCCAAAATCCATTAATCAAATATGCAAATTTAAGAGATGATGCCAGCTGGTGAGATGGCTCAGTAGGTGAAGGCACATGCTGACAAGTTTGACAGGCTTTGACAACCTGAGTTCAATCCCCAGGACCCACGCAGTGGAAGGAGAGAATTGACTCCCACAAGCTGGTCCCTGACTTCTATACTTGCATGGAACTATGTGAATGCCCGTGTACACACACATCCACACACACAACATAGCCAGATGTCAAAAAAGGGGCAAGTGCTACTCAGTGAGGCAGAAAATAATAAACTGAAGCTTTAGAGAAATATTCAGAAACATTACCAAATGCCCTCGGTAGACCTGTTTACGTGAAATGGATATTCTCGAAACCACACTCAGAAGGTCACCTTACAGAGGGAGCATTTCCTGTCTCAGGATGAAAAGTCCCAGGAATTCAGAGGGAAATATTTTTACAGTCATTATTCCAAGCTCAGAGTCAGATACGCTTAGCATCACATGACAAACCGTGTTAGTGGCAGTCTACACAGCATTGGTACGGACGGGGCCTCTTTTAAGTAGGTGGAACGGGTCAGGACAGGTCCCAAGAGTTCAGTCAGGGGAGGAGAGGAGCCTGGCCAGCATCATGGAGAAGCTGTTTGTGTTGGTCTTTGCTCTCAACCTGCTGGTCTTCTCCTCAGGTAGGTTCTCTCTTGAAGGACACAGCCTGTTTTTGCACTGACGTGATCATATATAGTATATATTAATAATTTGATATGCTTTCTTTTTGTAAAAGTAAGCTTCTCGAATTCCTATTATTTAGAAGGGAAGTAAATTACTTTCTTTGAAAAGACTTAAGATGTGTTTGAGTACTATTTTCAGAAATACTGACAAGCCTTGAATTACATCTTCTTCTAAGATTCATATATGATCATGGAAAGCTTGATGTACTTTTATTATGCTAATATCTTTTAATGTTTGCGTGAGGCCCCCCTCCCCATTAATCATTTTGCAATCATACTTTCTGAGTGGGATGTGTGAAGAACGGATTTAACACGGTCTTCTTGTCACAGACAAGATTGGGAAAGAATATGGTTTTTTTTTTTTTTGGTTTTTCAAGACAGGGTTTCTCTGTAGCTTTCGAGCCTGTCCTGGAACTAGCTCTTGTAGACCAGGCTGGTCTCGAACTCACAGAGATCGCCTGCCTCTGCCTCCCGAGTACTGGGATTAAAGGCATGCGCAGGGCTGGAGAGCCCAGTTGGCAGAGTGCTTGCTTGGCATGTGAAGAAGCCCTGAGTTTAGTACCATGTTAACAGGGCACCGTGGCAAACAACTGTAATTCCAGCACTCAGGACGATCAGTTCAAGGTCATTTCAACTAGACGTTTGAGTTCAAGGGCAGCAAGGCAAAAGATCTTTTCTCAAAACAAATAAAAATGAGCCAAAATAAATAACAACAAAAAAACTATACATTACATCAATGCCCGCTGTAAATAAGTGGACCATTGCAAGAAGTAAGTAGATTTTTAAGTCCTGAAGCTTTTACTTTAAGTTAACCATAGTAGAAACAATTTAAAATTTTCGAGTCCTCAGAAATGCCGCATCCTTTGGGACAGATTCCTCTTTGTGTTTCACCACGATTGAACTTGCAAGTCCTCCTGGAGCACTGAGACGGAGTGTGGGCTCCTGGGCCTGGGGAGCCCTCAAGTCTCTTCCTGATTCTTTTCAGAGGCCTCCCCGATTCTGACAGAAAAGCAAGCCAAGCAGCTCCTGAGGTCCCGGCGACAGGACAGGCCCAGCAAACCTGGATTCCCTGACGAGCCCATGCGGGTGAGTGCTTGGCTCTGGAAATTGCATAACACACACTGTCTTCTGAATGGGCGTCTATTCTGAAATTAACTGAGTGCTGCTCATTGGAAGGACTGTGAGATGGGGGTTGTAGTACAGACAGCACTAAGATGTGTGTGCCCTTCACCCCTGGGGACACTGGCTCTCCTCATCGACTGTGGACACAGTATGGAAAACAGAAACAGCAGGGTCTACAGGTATGTGATGTATGTGCCCGGCATACCAAGGGGCTGCTCAGCATCTCCCTCCTCTGCTCTGTTTGCTCAGCAGCTGCTCCTTTTGGCTGATACCAACCCGCAGGCAGACTGCATTAGCATCCTCAGCTGGCAGTGGTCACCTTGGGTAGAATCATGGTACCAGCTGCCTCTGGTCGATGCCTTTGTTCTCAGCTCTGCTCTGGGGGTTATGGTTTCTACTTGCCTAGTCTTTCTTAACCAAGGCACCTGGGATAGCCAATATTGGCTATCAGCTTAACAGGACCTAGCATTGATTTCAAGACAAGCCTCTGGGTATGTCTGAGAGTTTCAAGATGGGTGACCCTATCCTAAATGTAGGCAGCAACATTCTATGGATTGGGTCTTAGACTGCATTCAAAAAGAGAGAGAAAGCTGGGCGGTAGCTTTCATTTTTTAAAAAGTAATATTCTTTTATTTATTTTTATTTTTAAAGATTTATTTATTTATTATGTATACAGTATTCTGCCTTCATGTATGCCTGCTGTCCAGAAGAGAGCAAGAGATTTCATCATAGGTGGTTGTGAACCACCATGTGGCCACTGAGAATTGAACTCAGGACCTCTGGAAGAGCAGCTAGTGCTCTTAACCACTGAGCCATCTCTCCAGCCCATTCTTTTATTTTTTTGAAATTGTAATATAATTACATTGTTCCCCATTTCCTTCTCCTCTCACCAACCCTTCATGTAATCCCCTTTCTCTCTCTCAAATTCATTGCCTCCTTTAATTTAATTAATACACACACACACACACACGTGCGGGCACACACATGCACACACACGCACACACACATGCATGCGCACACACACACACACACACACACACACACACACACACACACACCACTCCTAAATACATAAATACAACCCTTCCTCCCTCTCTTCCTCCCTCCATCCCTCCCTCCCTTCCTCCTTCCTTGTTTTTTGAGACAGGGTTTCTCTGGCTGTCCTGGAAGTCACTTTGTAGGCTGGTCTGGCCTTGACCTCACAGAGATCCTCCTGCCTCTGCCTCCTCAGTGCTGAGATTAGAGGTGTGCGCCACCACTGCCAGGCTCAAGTTGCATCTTATCACAGTGAGGAAAGTAATTGTATAGCCCCCTTCCCTGCCTTTATTTTGGGTGTTTAGTGCTTTCTGTGAGACCCTGCCAGGCTAGTTCAGCTCCTGTTTGGGGGTCTAATTCGACTGTTCTGACATTCATGGTATTTCTCCCTCATCCAGGTGAAGGCTCATCACAATGTACCAGCTTTGGGTGTCTGGAGGTTATTGTCTGGTGGTATTTCTGTGGTTCTGGTTGGTCTCTTTCCTGGACCCCTCAACTGGCTATCTGCTCAGCCTCTCTGTCAGATTCTTATGTGAGGTCCACAGGAACCTGGAACCACATTTGCCTTCTGTTACTGTGGACTCAGTGCACATATTTGATATTTAAAAGACTTTCATTGGTCTGGGAATGTAACTCAGTGGTAGAATGCTCACCTGAAATGTGCAAGGCCCTAGATTTGATCTCCAGCATTAAAAGAAAAAACAATTGATGGTAAATACTACTGGCTCAAGTCAGACTAGATTTGAATCTTTCCGTTCACTTTGTTCCTTCTCTCATTCTTTCTTTGTTTTACATTTACTTATTTAGTGGTGTGTACATTCATGTGGAGGCCGGAGGACCACTTGTGGGAGATGGTTCTTTCCTTCTGTTGTGTGGGGTCCAGGGACTGAACTTAGGTTGTCAGGGTTGACAGCAAGCATCTTTATCTCTGCCCCCCCCCCCGAGACTCCAGCTAGCCCAATCCCTATTTTTTTCCTAACTGCATGTGGGTGAGGTTCCCTTACATTGCTCTCCACCATTTCTATCAACTTTCTTCCTGTACGGAGACTGAATCTGGGGCCTTGCATAAGTAGGGCAAACAAGCATTCTACACTTCATGCCAGTCTTTGAGGGTTTTCTCTGCCAGCACCTGCACCTGGCTGTCTTGAGCTCCGTGGGGCAACGCCTGGGCCCTTCCTGAAGAACTCCGTCGGCCTCTCCCTGCAGGTGTTTGGACCGTTGGACCGTTGGACCGTTGAAGCTGTTTCCTGCCTCTTGCAACTGTGCTGCTCTTGGCTCTGAACTCTGCCTTGTATGGTCCTCTCCTGGCTGAGACACAAACTTCTGAGTGTATTCCTTTGCTGACACTGTGCCTACTTCTGGCTTGGGGCCATCGCCATCCCTGACAACACACATAGCTGGATCTGAAGGCCGAGGATGGTGGCCCTGTGCTTGCCAGCATTCTTGGGGTGCCAGTTAGGTCCCACCTTTGGCCAGGCAGGGTCAGGAGCTTCACAGAGAGTGGACATCTTCCAAGGGTCCTTGGCTCCCGAAGAGTCACGCTTCCTTCTCTCTTCCTCTTCCTCCCCTCTTCTCTCTTTTTCTCTCTCATTGAGGCAGGGTATTTCAATATAGCCTTGGATGGTTGGCCTTGAACTCACAGAGATCTACCTGCCTCTGCCTCCTGAGTGTTGGGATTAAAGTGTGCCACCATGTCTGGCCTATACGTGCGTTTTTCGAAAAAGGCTTTGCAAAATAACATGTGTCAGACTGTCTGAACTCCTTCCTCCATATTCCTCTTTGGGCCTTGCCTTGGGCTACCTGGAATGGTGCCAGTGGAAGGCTGTCTCAGGGTTAGGTAGGACATCGCCTGGCCATCACTGCAACCTGGTTGAGTTTTGGGCTGCACACATTTGTGGAACCATCTAGGAATTTTAAGCAGGGAACTTATACAATCAGGCCCACTCCACAGGTACCATTTAGAGGCTCATTTAGACCTCCAGACCCTACTGTCCATTGGAAACAGGCAGTGACATCGTTGCGTGTGTATTCCATCTCCTTGTCATGGTACCTGGAAGATGGACAGGTGGACTTTGGCAAATGAATCTAGTTGACAGCTGTTGGGGGAAAGCATGTGCCCCTGGAAACCAAGCCTGGAGACCAACGTGCTTGCTGTCATCGGAAGTAACTGAGAAGTTGACTATTGGGGAGATTTTATTTTGCTTCTCACTAAGTGACTAGATGGCAGAAAACTGGTTTAGAGAAGAAAGAAGCCACGGCAGAGGGTATGGAGCAGTGCTTTGGGGGAGTGTTAATTCAAAATGAAAACACACACAGAGGCTCACAGTCGCTTCTCGCGAACTGTGGCGCAGCGTTTGTTCAGAGAAAGCATGGCTGGTGCTCAAGGGAGGTAGTTCCTGGAATTCTCTGCCCAGCTGGGTTTGCAGTTGGTTTTGCTGTGTGTTTTTTTTTAAATCTTCTGCAGCCCCCAGCCACATGCAGCCGTCTGTGTTAGTGGTTTCCTGGAAGGAATGATGATTGGCAGGGGGTACACCGTGGGGACAATCATGGATGTCAGGAGACTCTTGAAGCTGCTGTGGTAGTGTAACTGGCTCTGATGATCATTTATAATTAACTTGGCTCCAAAGAGATTTTTGGAGAGTAGGGTCTGGACCCCCTGGGAATGGGATGGGAGCTCCCCAAAGGCTGGCATTCATTTTGGGATGTGCCGTTCAGTGACAGGTAGAGTTGACTGAGTTGTCATAGTGATTCTTTTGTGTCAGAGGACTTGTAGGTCTAAGGAAGCCTCAGCACACACAAAGAGGCCAAGACCAGCCAGATAACCCAAGCTAGTTTGGAGACAACTGCATGATGGTGGGGCTATAGGAAGAGAAGGCAGAACGGAAAGCCGTCTGAAGCTGAAATGTCCCCACAGGTTCAGGTTTTGAAGATTTGTTCTTCGGTTGGCACTGGGGCCTGGCTGGTGGAAGTGGGTCAGGAAAGTACACCTTTGAGATTGTCCCTGACCCCTGGTTATTGTCCTACTCTCTCTGCTCCTCAGTTCACCATGATGTGAACAGTCACACACTCCAGCTGCCTTGACTGAGATCTCTGTCATGGTTTCCCCACCTTGATGGATTACATAAGATCTCTAGAAACATGAGCCAAAACAAATATTTCCTAAGTTTTTAAAAAAATGTTGATATTGCTGGGCAGTGGTAGTACATGCCTTTAATCCCACGACTCAGGAGGCGGAGGCAGGCAGGTCTCTGAGTTCGAGGCCAGCCTGGTCTACAGAGAGAGTTCCAGGATAGTCAGGACTGTTAAACAGAGAAACCCTGTCTTGAAAACCAAAACCAAAACAACAACAACAACAAAAAGATTTTACACACACACACACACACACACACACACACCCTCTCTCTCTCTTTCTCTCTCACACACACACAATAATATATATATATATATATATATATATATATATATATATATATATTCTATCTATCTATCTATCTATCTATCTATATGAAAGTTTTTTTTTTTTTTTCTGAGACAGGATTTCTCTGTGTAGCCCTGACTGGCCTGGATCTCACTTTGTAGACCAGGCTGGCCCTGAACCGCCTGCCTCTGCCTCCTGAGTGCTGGGATTAAAGGCATGTGCCACCACTGCCAGGCTTATTTATACTCTCCATGGTTTGTATTTTCACGTATCTGTGTGGGGATTATGTGCGTGTGAATGCAGGGGCCCAAAGAGGTGAGAGGTGACAGAGTCCCTTGGAGCTGGAGTAACAGGAAGTTGAGAGCCACCTGGTATGGGTGCTGGGAACTGAACTCTGGAAGAACAGCCAGTGCTCCTAACCACTGTGTCTCCAGCCTGACTCTTTTTCTTTTATATTGTTTTCTGTCAGGTATTGAGGTCGCAGTGGTGTGAAAGTCACCAACGCAAAAAT